AAGAGTGGCGGTGGAAAACCCTTTGTCCAGGGTGGGACACACACACATATCATCACACACATCATCACACATCACAACATTCTTGGAGCCTCCAGTCCTCCAGTCCTCTTATCCTGTTACTGCGGTTTGCTCGGGTCACGCTCCAAACATTCGTGGGCCCTCTGTGTGGGAGAGACACTAAGGCCTCAACCCCGCTCCCGCGCCGCGACATGTGCGCACGATCCGACAAAACCTGACACCCTCTTCCCTCGGGTGCCCCGCTCTGGGCGAAGCGGCGAAGCAAGTACCAACCATTCACGAAGATTTTGGGATCCTTTAGTGTTTTTGACCTCCTAGAATAAACACTCATTTGACCCTCATATGGTCCCGACCGGGTGTCTCTTTCAGCCGTCGCGGAAGTTGCAGGAGCCCTTTGTGCTTCTTCCAATGGAAGGGCCTTGCTCAGCTTTGGCGAAGGAGTGTCAGGCCGATCTCAAGTCTCAGATTTGGCTGAGTATTTTACAGTCACAGTCGACTACATTTGGAGGTGAATCTATTTGACTTCGACAGTTGTTTCCAGAACTAGCACAGGCCTTTAACAGGGGTTTGAAGAGCATAGTTCTGGGATCACCAAGGCCGCTGCTTGAGACACTCAAGCAGTGGCTGCAAAACGGCTGAAGTGCAAGCACATATCCAAATCCACCTCAGACTAGAGATGTTGACAGGCACTGCGAAGCAACTGGAGAAGGAGATCTATTGGCATGGGGATTGAACCTGACTGTCAGCCGCCTCACAGATTCTTCATTTGCGGAACGCTCCTTTTCATCCTTATCCTCTCATGAGTTTGTTTGTAGTTCAATGTCAGGAAGATTTGCGTGCCAAAAACATGTGTTCAAAAACACGTGCCTCAGCACGTAGATTCCACCCGAACAGCTGCTCGGGCAGGATGCGCAAGGGCTCCGAGCCGCGCAAGATGCCGGCGACCCCGCGGAAGTGACCCGGGTGTTCGATCGGATCGCCGGCTGGGCGACGGACGGGTGGAGACCCGGAGGACGTGAAGTCTGAACTGGTTCGAACTGTTGGACGTTTTTCCAGAGAGTGGTGGATGAGTTCGTAGGTGGAATGCATGTTAGTGGAGGACTTAGATGAATTGCTTTAGTGCCATGTCAAACGAGTTTTGGCCTTTTTGAATTCGCCTTCCTCTGAGATATTTGGATTCGCTTGGGAGCAAGGTATCCTGTGCTATTTCCTCGACATGATCGAATCTACCCTTGCTTCTTGGAATTGAGAATCGACATCTCCTAACGAGGAGACGTCTTCGCTCAAGCAACAGAAGCTCCGCGTGAAAGCGTGTGGACTGGGTGGGAAGAGCTGGAGAAACGTGAGTGAAACGGAGTGCGCTGAGGCTACGAGGATGAGTCCCTTGGCAGACGGAACGAGCGGAAGCAGACGCAGACGCAGATGGGAGTTTCAAAGCAGAGAAAGCGGCGCTCGATGGTTACGGAAAGGGCAACGAAGCAGATGGAAGATCAAGAGGCACACAGGTAAATTCCGGTAAATGAATCCTCCTGGTTTGCCTTTAGTGATGTGAAGATGAATGCCTTGACCCCTGAACCCTTTGCTTCCCTCAACAGAGGGGTTTCCCAATCCCGTCCTCGCGTTTCGCGAGCCTGGAGAGTTCGAAGCCACTCAGGTCGAAGCCTGGAGAGGATGATGAAGTGATTCTGCTCTAAACCTGTCGACTCAACGAATGGCCAACCCATCTCGGCAACCCTCAACCTGACCGACTGGCTGCTTCTTCCTCGTCCGTCGAGGACGTGGAGCAAAGCACAGGACTGGTGGCGTAGACAGCGCCGGGCACCGCACGCGGCAGAGGATGGAAAGCGCTGCTGAAGTCGCAAGACGTGTCGACCGGTGGTGTGGGAAGTTGGACGAAATGCTTCTGGATGAAACGATCAAGGCATGGTGGAATTTGTGGCAAGGCAGATGGGCAGATGTTCTAATCACTGAAGGGCATGCGAGCCTATGAGCCTATGAGCTACTCAGTTCTGCTGGCAGCACCTGGTGGCACCCCGTTCTGCAGCTGCCACTGGCAAGATGGCGATCCTCGATGGCGATCCTCACGCTTTGCCCTTTCAGACTGCCAGCGTGGTCAACCACGCTGGCAGGTGCATGTTTTCTGCGCCCTTTGTAGTGATGCGGGTTGGTAAAGCAGCAGTCATTGACAGCTGCAAGGCACCGCGCAGCTTGGCAGGTTAAATGAATGGAGAAGCGCTCTCTGCGTAGTGTCGAACAGATCTGTGTTTTCGGGATGTGCCCTATCACAGCTTCTGCCACTCCAATGTGGACAGCTGGGCTAATGGGCTATCATCACAGGCCACTTTGGGTGCGCTGGAGACGCTCGCAGACCTCGCAGACCGAGGCATCGGAGGGAAGCACTGTCCTGTCCGAAGTGAAGCGTTCCGGAAGTGTGCAGAACACGGGCGTCCTTTGCAGCACTTCTGAGCTCCAAAAGGAGTGCTTGATCACAAACATGGCTTCAAAAGGGAGGGCATGCCGCTGCAAAACATATAGCTTGCAAGATGCTTTTTGGCCATTTTGGTGCGAATTCCGTTCTGCTCAGAATTGACGTGCACTTTTCGTTCTCCGCAACATTCCAGGCTCCTGATGTGTTCTCACACTTGACTGAGCCGAGCGAGCCATTTTGACGTAGAACCCTTGCGCTTTCTCTCCTGGTCGGCAGACGCGATCGGAACGGGGCAGACTAAATCGGTCCTGTCCATGCTGTCAGGGCTTTCTTCGGGTGAGACACTAAATCCAGTTCCCAAAGAAACAGATGTTCAGTCGTTTTGAAGCTCGAAGCTCAGCTATGTCAATCACATTCAACCACACACACTTTTCAATGATTTTTTTACTCTTCGTATCCGAACCAGTTGCAATCCCTCCATGATTCATGATGAACAACCACGACCCAACCATGACCCAAAATTCCACCAGGGCGGCTTTTGGCGACACATCGTGGCCGTTTGTGCGTCTGTCGCCGAGAAAAGAGCTCGTTTTTTCCCACCATGGCGCTTCGCCTGGCCTTGGGCAGCTTGGGCAGCTTGGGTCTATGGCTCCACCTGCACCCTGCCACTGCGGCAGTTGTCGCGTCCTCGCGGCCGCGCAAGCCGGCAGGCGCCCAAAACCCCGGGACACCCGGGGACAGAACGGTACTTGCGATGTATTTTTATCGAACGCGAGAAGAAGACTGGCCGCTTCGACCCGGAAGAAGGGGTACACCAGGTATACATCCACTTCGAAAATGGAAGTGGATGGCTTGGATGACCCTGCTGAACAGGGGTTGCCACGTCTCCACGTCCATTGTCTTCACTGTTCGTGTAACTTCTCAGTCGTAAGTGGACCTTCTTCCCGTCGGTCCCAGTTGTGTCGTTTCGCTTTGTAAGGTGAGAAGGGATGCCTAATAGATCACATCTGCACCAGACTGCAAGCGCTCACTCCAACTAGTACGTATAGAAGGCCGTTTTGACCCATTACATCCAATATTTAAATACATCCACTGCGGGTTTCTCTTGATGATGGTGCCTTTGGGAGAAGCTTCTTGAATCTCCTCACCTTCGCAGGAAGTACGTATTATCCTTACCGACAACTACTGGACTGCAGCTCGAACGCAGTCAGTTGGAACGCTGCAGAGCATGCAAAGAGCCGACGCAAAGAGCGGCATGAAACGGTGACGTCAGTGGTGTTTTCGGCTTTTCAACCAACATGCAGGGTTGAAACGATGATCTAAACATTCTACCTGGCGTTCTCGTGCGAAAAGAAAAAGGTCCTGGAGTTCTGTATGCTTACTGAGTCATCTTAGTCCTGTCATTCTTCCGGTCCTTTCAACTTGGCCAGTTCGTCCGAGGCGAAGGCAGCAATTTCAGCGAGGAGTGGCGAGGCTTCCGGCTGCGCGTGGCGGCCAATGCTGAGCAAGGCGGTCCGTGTGCCGGGGCTGGGGGGTCAGGAGGGTGTTTGAAGAAATCCGACCAAGCTGTTTGAGAACCAACACTCTACATAATGTATATATTTGATTAGTGTTGGGGCCAGTATATGAAGCTTCCCTGGCTTTAACATGCTTTAACGACTTAAGATTGAAATTTTGGAGTCTTGCTTTGGAACCATGTACCTTCACTCCCTTTCGTGAATGCTTTGATGCACCGTGCTTGCAATCCAAATGGTTTGGTTACTCTTGACTTCTTGTTGGAATCCAAGAATCTATGTCTGGAGGGCTTGGGGCTGTTGCCCTGCCCCTCATGTTCTGGGGTTGGCCCGACCTTGGCTTGACGCTATTGTCGTCCAGCAACAACGAAGAGGAGCCTCTGCTTGGCTTCGGGTGTACATTTCTTCGGGTTTGTTTTGTACATGCTTCATGACTGGGGAGTGAATAACATCTCTTTCTCATAACTGGCTCAGTCTGAACCTCACGATCCCACAGGTGGAGTGCCACAGGCCACAGGAGGCCACAGGTTGGGAGTGCCACAGGGGCCCTGGCCTCACCGAACTCCACAGGTTTTCCTCCAGATCTGGAGCTACTGACGAAAGCTTGGGAGGTGCACGAGAAGTTGCAGGAGGCCGGAGCTCGCGGAGCGAAGCAGAACACCAACGACGGCCTGATCGGTGTATCGCTGCGAGCGTCGGTGGGGAAGACATCGTTTGGAATGGATGATAGTGGATCGAGAGTAGATGGCACAGACCCCAAGAGGTGGTTTATATGGACCCCCATCTAAAGGACATCTTGGGGTCTGTGCCATCTACTCTGAAACCACTGTATATACGGTAGTTTTTCGGAGGAGGGCCCTGTTGATTCAGTTTGCTGGGATGTTTGATGTGGGTGTTTTGCTGTGAGCAGCGCCGTTGTCGTGTAGGTGGCTCCCGGGATTCGATCTTTCCGTGTAGCTCGGCCGTTTCCGGGAGACGGAGGGTGCCTGGGCGTGGCGTTCCGACCTCCCTCCTTTCAGTCTACCCAGCCAGGGACGACCAAGAAGGTCTCACAGACTTCACAAATCCGCACGCCTATTGGTGGGCAGAATCGTCATCGAACATCATCAAACCTTGACTATATGCGATCATTGAAGATTCCTTTTGCAGAGGTTTTGGTCAAGGTGCAAAAAAGAGGGTTCAGAATGAACTGATGTCAAGCAGGAAATAGCAGGAATGCAAACGGTGATTGCAGATGTTTATCATCCATGTCGTCTCTGTTTAGATGCTCATCATTGACCTTTGTGTGAATTTACTTGGACACATCCACACGTGCGCCGAACACAATATGATACTATCTCATTGCGGACCATGCACCGCGGACATGGATGGATCGTTTGAAGATGAGTAACTTCAATCTTCTCCCGAGATGAGTCACTTCCGATGTCACCTGAGCAGTCCGTTCCAGCCGACCATCCCTGACCCCTGAGCTCGGGCCAGGACGCCACAGCCCGGAGCCTCTTGATGGTGAAGATCTTGGTCCGGCAGGAAGAAGTGAGCCGCTTGCGCTGCTCGGCGCGAGGGGACCGGGTCCTCGGGAGACCTGAGGTGCGAGTTCCAGGTCCTCGAGGTTCGGAGGTGCGAGGTTCCGGCAGTTCCAGGTGGTGTTCGGAGCGTCAAAGCCACGAAGTGGGTGAAGTGGGTGTGTTTGGGCCAGGTTGATCAGGTTGTATCCATTGTGTCATCAACAGAAGGCAAATCAGTTGAATTCGAAGAACCATGAAACAACTACACCACGTGGTTTTGCTGTTGATCTAGCCTTACTATGCACACGTGCACTGTTGTTCTGAACTCATGCCAGTCAGACAACAGCTGGGTCTTCCATGATCGGTTGGTCCAGTGAGGCAAACCAATGAATGCTATTTCCTATTTTGCTGGGTTGACATTTGTTCACACATCTTCACACATCTTCACACATCTTCACACATGTTTCTCTGAGTGTCTCTCGTTATTTTGCCGGGTCTGGATTGTTTCAGAAGGCCAGGGATGTCGATTTCTTCGTCACTAAGGAGACTTCTGCCTCCTGGGCTTTGCTTCTGCTTTGCCGCTTGGGAAGACGCGCATCAGCGTGTTTTCTTTTTGCACTTTGAAGATCTGCATATAACAGATGCAACAAATAAACTACCCAGACACTCCACGTATGCCATATGCCGGTGGTTTTGGGGGTCAATGTAAGCATATATGGCAGTCCCATGGGTCGTGTCTGGGCTATCTGCAATGAATCTCATATATGCGACGGACCGGCACGTCCCTCGCGGACATGTGCTGGGGGGCGATGTGGAGGAGCCCATGGAACCCCGTTCAACCCACTGGTTGGTAGAGGAAAACCATCGGACCCAACGCCATGTGTGTTCGGGTCCATGTGTGTTTTCGGGTCTTGTTGGCGCGCCCAGGTTCATCATGTACCGGCACGAATTGACGGTCCAATACTTGGAGGATATCAGAAACGTCCTGCTCCCAGAGCCATCTTTCGCAGCATTTCAATCTGCAGCGACTCATTGGGCGAGTCGACTCGCAAGTCGCACCAGTCGCTGCAGTCGACTCGCTTGCATGACCTCAGCCCAGCTGCATCAGGGATATGGTTCTTGGAGTCTCAGATGGCCTGCCTTGTCTCTTCATCAGCTGGGCGTACTACTCCTCCACCACTCCCACGTTCTCCCGTCCGTCGTCCGGTCGCTACCTCGCTACCTCCACGTCCCGAGGTTCTGGGCTG